ATTTAAGATGCTGTGACCCCCTCAATTTAACTCGGAGGTACGGCTACGTCACATCTCCACATCCGTTTTCCAACCAAATTGGACAACCGGGCAACTTGAGGTTGCTGCAACACATTAATCGAAAACCATGGCATCCGACGCTCAGAATGCGGAGGAGAAATTAAACACTTTCCTTTCCGTGAGTTATGGGAACTTTTCTGGCAATCTTTCCAGTGTAATTTACATCCATGTGTCTCTTTTCACTCCACGGCACTGACAGCAACGTCCGAGCGGGAGATACACATTCGACAGCGAGCGCGGGGCACCTCAGTCGGAAATCTGTCGAGAAGGTGGCGAAAAGGGCCACGAATGCATTGTTGTGAGTAAATACCAGAACATATCGTATGTATAAGTACCCCGTCCTCACAGTCCTGATATACAGCTAAAAATGTACTCGACTAAATTATTCGAAGCCATGCAGGTACGAGTAGTTGCACATGTTTGATGCGAGACTTGTATGCTCATCTCAGTTCCCGGGCATCAGAAACATGGTTTTTACTGTGCCCTGCCCATGGATCCAACTCAGACACACATGGTGTGCGATAAAATACCACAGTCGTAAAGTTATAACCTCCCGTAGGATACGTGTATAAATGGCGACCTAATAACTCCGTTGTACTGTCTAGCTATCCAGATAGCGGATAGCAATGGACCCTTTAAGGGATGGGCTCAGCGTCAATACCAAGCACACCCAAGTTGGCTTTTTTCCGATGAGCTTCTGCGATTTCACGGCGTCCCTGGGCGGCTCTTAATTCTATGCTTGCCAGCTCGAGCTCGTGAAGGGCTCGTTTTGTCATTTTTGCAACTTGAGCATAGTCAGCTACGAGATGAGCTCTATGCGCCTCAATGCGAGCTATCTGCAACAAATACATCACCATGAGTGTCACATGTGTAATAAAGCGATCGACTTACCTCTGCCTCGTATGAAGCAGTGTAGCTAGGCGTAGGATCATATTTCGGAATCACAGGCAGATAGGGGACCTGCGGAGCTTCTGGTTCCTTGGAATCTATCGTTTGGCCTGATTGACCCTGACTCAGATGGGATTGCGCCGGAGATGAAGGAACAGGGGGCGATTTAATGTAATTACGGGGTTGTCGCGGAGGAGACCGGTGAGGGACGACTTGTCGGTGAGGAGAGGCCGAGCGCGAACGCATTTTGATGTCGCCCTCAGCGTCACGCCCCAAGGTTTCAGGTCTTGACCTGGCCTTGTCTGCGTGATGCGAGGGTTCGGATTGTGCGGGCTCTTTCGTCCCTGTGATAGGTTGGGATGGTTTTTCAGCACCTCGAGGTGATTGCGGATCAGCTTGTCCCTCATGTTGATGTGAGCGTGATTCAGGGGGTGGAGAGGGATTTTGTATGGGTGGTAATGGACCCTGAGGAGGACCACCCGGCCCATGGCTTTGTTGCTCTAAGTTACGCGTCGTATCTCGATGTGATGCCCGCGAGCTAGGCCTAGAATAGTGGCCAGTTTCTCGCGGAGTACTTCTGCTCCTGCTACGGTACCGTCGATTAGCCTCTTCGTCACGTCTATCTGAGCGAGGGCCGCGGTAGGGCGATCGCATTGGAGAGCGAGATCTTGAGGCGATAGAACGACGTGGACCAATATAAGCTCGCCGAGGCGAAGACCGTCGAGACATCCCGTCGGCGGTGCTTCGCGAGAGGGCTCGTTGTGGCGGACGATTCGGCCGCGGAGAAGGTGATCGTCTGTTTGACCAAGTGTTTTTATACTGGCCCTCAGCGTGCCCGGAAGGACCTGTTTATGTTTTAGAAACAACGACAATGAAACAAGTAAACGTAGCATACCTCCTCGAGGAGGTGACCGGGAAATACTCCGTCCTCTTCGATATGCGGAAGGTTCACCATCGTGCCTCGGAGGTGACCTCTGAAAGTGTTTTGGTCGATCATAATCTCTGTCACGCTCGTATTCTGGACCTGGGCCCCGGTCATAGTCTGCATTACGAGAACGCGGTCGGTCTTCGTGCCGATTTTTGTCGTACCCTCTCTGCGAGGATTCTGATGGACGATTTGGCGCTGACCCGTAACTAGTTCTGGGGATCCATGGCCTTTGATCCCCACGCTGCCAATCTCGTCCTAGGGGCCTTCTGTCTGGTTCCCATACTTGGTCTCGGGACGGTGTCCATGAGTCTTTGTACTCTCTTTCGCGGTGGTTTCGCCCATCATAATCATTCTGAGAAGAAGGGCCGTATGCATTTGCAGGTCTATGAGGTGATTCACGCGAATACCGTGGCCGGTCATTGCGTTCCCTAGTATCACGTTCATCTTGACGGTAAGAGTCACGATAATGACCCGGTGGGGGCATTGGTGGCGGACGACCTGAAGAATGTCTTGAGTCTGTTGGGTCAGGCCATATGCCTGGCTCACGAGGACTGAAATCTGGTTTACGGGGAAGACTTGTCATTTGTAAAAGGTCGAATGAATCATAGCAGAAATACAACTGGTTCTTTTCCAATGTTGTTTGTTCTTGTTTGTCATGTCCAATACTTTGAAATCCGAGGTCCTTGAGCACATATTCCTCATCATGTCTGCTGGTTTAGTTCCTTTGGCCTCCACATCTCAAATTGAGCGTACACCATCAAGGGAGGATGGAATACCCGAAGAATTGGAAGCAGATCTGAGAGCTTATGGCTGTAAACTTATACACCAAGCTGGGATTTTGCTCAAACAGTCAGTTGGTATGGTCATATCTGGTCATTTCCAAGCTAAACAATACGCAGGAAACAGGTTGCAGTAGCTACTGCTCAAATCTTATACCAGCGCTTCTGGTATGTGACGTCCATGAAACAGTTTGGTATCGGGGTTCGTAAGATTATCTATATTGCGCGACTCTTGATCTTGAACGCGTGCATCATACCTCTCAGGATGTAGGCATGGGAGCTCTTTATCTGGCATCAAAACTGGAGGAATGTCCCCTTCGTATGCGAGACTTGATAAACGTCTACGACCTTCTGTTGCAACAAACGACACATCAACTGTCTTCTCCTGCTGGGAAGGGCGTCTTCAAATATTCGCCAATGTCATATTTTGGAAACACGTTCTATGATATAAAGGATGCACTCGTGGTGGCCGAAATGCAAATACTTAAACGCCTAGGCTTCAATGTCTATGTCGTCCTGCCTTATGGAACATTGATAAACTATTTGAGAGTGCTCGGATTAACCAGTCACAAAGAAGCGTGTGCGCGGGCTTGGGGATATCTCAACGACGCGTAAGTTGATTCTGATACCATCTACTCTGTGTATTTAAACGCGTTTCAGCCACCAAACGCCTGTATATGCGTTGTATGCCGTACCCACCATCGTGAGCGCTGCGATATTCCTTTCCTGCCGACATCTGGATATATCGCTGCCCTCGACGCCGCCGAACTGCTGGTGGGACCTTTTCGATGCACCCTGGGAGGATGTCTGGAGCGTCTGTGGATACGTTATGAGGCTATATCGCGATCGTAGCCCCGAAGATCGGCTTAGAGTGGTAGGGATGCTGAACAAGAAAGATGTGCGGAAGTGGCTGGAGGAGAATCCAGGCGCATGCATGCCGGAGATGGCGATAACATCATAGCGCGGATGACACCCAAATGCCGGGGGTAGGCAGAGTTGGAGACCGCTCTGCACCAAGGACTTGCAGTTCTCGTGAAGAACCGGCGTGTTCATCGCCAGGATAAGCGCGACAGTATTGCTATGATCGGCTCGCTCTTTGAAGGCGCTCTATCCGAAAGCTAGGATCTCAGCTGTATATCTGGGAAACAATCGACGGTTCATGGGTCTAGTCAGGCATAGGATGCACGGTGCACTAGTCCTGTGGGTCATTAAATCCCGAATCTTTTTCTGATCATCTACATCCACTTTCCTTTTGTTCGCAAATGTTAGTGATCACTAAAAGTAGGACTTTGAGCGAAACACACGAACCACACTTTGCCTGGATGACCTCACATAAACTCAAGGACAACCAATCTCGTGTCTTTGCTAGTATATCGGATAGTACAGCCGCCTGTCATGTGCTGGTGGCCGGATCGCGGCAGAGCTGGGTTCGACTCCCAGGCAGAGAGAATTTTTGCATTTGTTTTGTTGAAAGTGGGAAGATGTTGCTTGCCCTTTATTATTGTTCTAGCTGACCCACTTACATGTCTTTGCTAGTATATCGGATAGTACAGCCGCCTGTCATTAGGCGGATCGCGGCAGAGCTGGGTTCGACTCCCAGGCAGAGAGTCTTTTGCAAACTTTTTGTTGAACTGATTATGACTTCAGGCTCGAACGATCTGTTCACTGTTATACATTCTGTCACCAGCTGTTGTCCAGCTGATCAATTTTTATGAGGTGGATGTCAAGAAAGATTTCGGGACCCAAAATAAATATCATCTGAATCCAGTTCATAACGAATTGTATCCAATCAAAACTCCCAAACTGTTCCGAATGCTTTCGCTGGCTCTCCTAACATCGCAGCTTACGCTGAAGCGCAGCTGCAGCACAAATACGTGCATCAATTGCACCATGAAACCAAAAAATCTCTCTGCCTGGGAGTCGAACCCAGCTCTGCCGCGAACCGCCTAATGACAGGCGGCTGTACTATCCGATATACTAGCAAAGACATGTTAGGGCGCTTCTCATTGTCCGACATAAGCCTCATCAAAGCGCTACCACACTCATTGCAAGTTCGATGACGACCGATGGCATAACGATCCTCATTTAATCAACGCAGCGCCAAAGGCCTTCGCTAACAAGCGTATCATCGTTATGCAATATAATGGCATAGCTGAGGTTTAACAATACAAAAGTTCATATCCCGGGAATCAAATGCGATAGTCATTTACATTCTACAGAGCTTCGATGGGTCCCAGACAACGGTAATTTAATCGCTGAGAATGGCCTGCACCACATTTCCCACTCTGAGTTGCCTCAAGTCGGTGTATGTCTAAGCCGCACAATCAGAAAGAATGATGGAGAAATTTAATAATCACATACCTGTCCGCAACCAACAAATATAATAGGCTGACCAGTGACGTATGTCATCGAAAGGGCGGCGCCAACCTTTATAATCTCGAACGTTAACAGATACGCCAACATCGGACCAATGCCCGAAATTGACCTTATCATCAACGGTATCCCATTTGGTTACGATCATACCGTCAATGCCACGACCCTTCCCGGCCCCCGAGGCAGACGAGAAGTCACGCAAAGCACGGTCAAACTTCGTCAGCTGATCAACAGCTTCGTTGCCAACCAGGGCCTCACCGACAAAGAGGATTTTGTCGGGATTATTTACTGCAACAAGCTGCATCAAAACCAACGGTCGCCATCAGTGGATGCACTTGAATATTGATAGCGGGAAAAATACCTTCGCTAGAGCACGCATGAGGGGCTATGAGCGGGAATTATCAGCGAGACTGTTCCTGAATTTTGGTGATAGTAATCTCACCTCATTGTCTTGCATACGCCCTGCGGTGTCAATGAGTACGACATCGAAATCATTTTCCTTCGCTGAGATGGTTGCAGCGTAAGCTCAAAGTAGATGACGCGATTAACGATGGCCTCACCATGAGCGATGGCCTCCTTGGCTATGCCCGCAGCATCTTTCCCATAACCCTTCTCAAATAATTCGACACGGCCCTTACTGTCCGTTGCACCGTTGACGCCAAGCATGCTCAGATTTCGAACATGTACGCGGAGCTGTTCGACTGCGCCACTCCTTCATAAAGGGCGTCAATCATCCATGTGTCCATTGAAGAGCACTGAGGCAAAACACTGACCGGAATGTATCACAAGCAGCGATCAGAACACGCATACCGTTCTGAATCAACCAGAAGCATACTTTGGACAAGTTGGTGCTCTTCCCCACACCGTTGACACCGACAAATGTGATGCTGTAGGGAACTCTCTGTTGCGTAGAAGCTAGAGGAGACGATAATTTAGTCCTGATGGAGAGTAGCAGATCGGTGGATGTCTTCGGCGTCAGAATCCTGGTGAGAGATGACGACAGCGCCGTCCTCACGGCGTTGCTAGTGGCTGGTATTACAACGAAGGATTAACTTATGGTCTTTGAAATGATAGAGAATACTTGCTCTGAATCCCAACTTTCTTTCCCTCAAGACTTTCCCCCACCCCCTCACAAACTTTGTCCGCAATTTCCATCGCTACATTCTTCTTCATCAGATGCTGCTTCATGCCTTCCAACACAGGCTTCAGGTCTTCCTGTGTCAACACCTTCGTTCCAGTCAAACGCGCAAACAGAGAGCCCAGTGCACCCAGGGAACCCGAAGCCTGTTTCGCCGCGGTGCCATTCGATTTGAGCGCACGGGCAATCACATCGTCCTCGCCATCCTTCGCTCCAAATTCCCAATCTTTGACTTCATACATTCCATCTCTCGTCCGCGTGCCCAAGGATGCCTTATCAACTAGAGCCTGCAGATCATGCGAAAGCTGGCCATCGGTTCCAGACGGCTTATCGACACTGAAGTCTAGAGAAGCCATGTCCATCTCCGATGGTGCCTCATCTCCCCATTTACGCTGTGTTTTGGATTTAGTTTTTCTTTTATTTGATTCGGAACTGTAGATAAGAAAATGAGCACAAAATGGCAGCCTTGGCTGCAACCACACTCACTCAGACACAGGAACACTATCCCTGCCACTCCCTGATTCCACGCGCGCCATACCCCGTCCACCCCGTCTTCCTCCACGACCGCGTAGTCGATTCTTAAGCGCTTGCACGTTACGTGCGATCTGTTGCTCATCTTGGGGCACTACAGACGATTCCGAAGGTACTACGCCAAATGTAAGCGCTATCACGAGCATAGATAAGTTTAACCTACTAGTACTGAGATCATCTGAAGGCGGGCTATTGTCAGTTGAGACGACCTGAACTGTCGATCGGAATCGGGATTTTCTTTCCTGAGTGTACATTTGAGCGAAAGATACGGCGCATATATGAAGAGTAAAGACTAACCTGAGCGGCTTTATCTTCGAAACTTTTAAGAAGGGCGTCGAATACTTTGTCCCAACTTTCAAAAGCCTTTGCAAAGTTCCACGATGCAGTCGTATCGCCCGCAACAGGAGTCGCCAGTTTACTACTGTTTAACGCATGTAACGAAGCAACGAAAGTAGCCAAGAACGGTTCGAACATCTGGATGAACAGATTTCTGAGAGCAGCAAGCAGATCATCCACGTATGTCAGCTGTAAAATCCTTTGATATGCAACCTACTTTCTGATTCAATCGTGTGTACGCGCACTATTAATTAAACGGCTGCGCACCACGAAAATGAGCTCGAGATCGTTCATGAATGTCCATTTTACTGCATATCCATCCTTTTCGTATTTCTCTTCCGCTGTGCGCCCTTCGATGAGGGCTTCACGAATGAGCGAGTTCACTGGTGAGGCAGAGGATGATGCGATATGCGAGGCTTCTGGGGTGAAGGAACGAGACCAAAGAACAACGCCCCCTTGGAATAATTTTTAGCGCGGCAAGCAGGATAAGAACAGGAGAATGAATACCTTTGTGTGAAATAGAACAATGGTCGAGCATACTGGTCAGAAATGTATGGTGAGTTTCGGTAACCGGAGTTACACTGGTTAATTAGCATGAGACCCATCCGAGGGGTCGAGGGGGGTCATTTCCCGGCCTCATGTTATTTGCCGCAAGTATTTTCGGGCCACCCATTCGTCGATCATCAACAGTGCATCAATCATAGGATTCAGGAAGTTGATGCCTTCTGGCCAGCTGCGGGATCAGAACAGGTTTATCGATTCTCCACAGGCTACAAATACACAGCAGCAGTCATCAGACGATGCATGGGGTCAGCTGACGCTCAAAGCACAGGCCGAAAGCCCATATACAACGGAGGTGATCCTCGTGGAAAACACATCAAGGTGAATATATGATCGTGATCTAAGTGTATTGTAGTACATTCCTCAAGGGTAGGTATTATGCGGCATATCAGTGAAGCGCCAATGGGAGTCCCTGCTGTCGGCACGTACAGGAGCGTCATAGACAATGTGATAGCAAGTGTCTTGAAATAAATATAGAAAACGGTCATGTCCGAGAAAAATCATCACTCTGACTTATTGGCCGGAATGATGTGCGAGACGGCACCTCTGCACTCCGTCGCACTGTGACTGATCTCCTTTGCGGCACCAAGTCCATGGCCGCCGGGTTCGCCATTTGCCACAGCACAGGGTAAGAATTCTGCAGGAAAGGCTGATATGGAGATCCTTGAGGGTGATGCTCCTCTGCAATGGGCAATCCCGCTGGCGAAATAGATCGTATACCCGCCCCATAACCTCCCTTCTCTTCTGACCATCCCTCATTCCCTTCACCGATAGGGGTAGAGAACTGCGGCGGATAAGTGTATGAGCCATATCCGTCAGTCTCTGGATATTGTACGATGTAAGGCGATTTATCTATGCTCGGGCGAGAGGGTTGCGAAGATGTCATAACTTCCGGGAACTTCATGTCTGATAACACAGGTCCCGTATAGTACGGGTCTTGCCTTAATGGAAGGGGAACACCGCTGGCATTGTGTGCTTGAGCGACAGCATTTGGTGCATTCGAGTCCAAACGAAATATAGGCGTAACTGTACGGTCTTCGTTACGCATGAATTCAGAGGATGGTGCGGTGCGTTTGCGGGCACGATAACGACAGAAAAGGATAAGGCCAACAGCTACACAGCCAATGAAGACTACTCCTCCAATAACACCTCCGGCGATAGCACCGGCGTTTGATTTTGATGAAGTAGCCGTTAGAGAGGAAGAAGATTTGGAAGACGTTGTGGAATAATGCGAACTCGTGCTAGTTGTAATTGACGACTGCGAGGGTAAAGTAGACGAAGACGCAGCATGGGTAGCTGTAGGTGGTGTCGAAGAATTGGCAGTAGAGCTCATATTGTATGTGGATGTGGTGGGGCTGGTGCTGGCGGTGGCGCCAGTGGTATCGGAACTGAAAATAGAGCCGCTATAAGACTCGCTAGGAGGATTATTCTCCTTAGGTGGTGATGGGTTCCCAGTGAAGGGGCCGTGGTGACTCGAGCGCAGCCCGCTCAAATTACTTTGAAACATAT